AAGAAAGAAAGAAAGAAAGAAAGAAAGAAAGAAAGAAAGAAAGAAAGAAAGAAAGAAAGAAAGAAAGAAACCTTTAAAATGTATTCCCTTGCCCAGCATGGTAGTGCACAGCACTCAGGAGGCAGAGGTAGGTTGATCTCTGTGAGTTTGAGGCCAGCCTGGTCTACAGAGAAAATTCCAGGACAGACAGGGCTACCCTGTTTTGAAAAAACAATAAAACGAAATGAAACATTCCCTTCTGGTCTTTGGCTCTCAGTATTTTTGCCACAGTATGTATCTTTATATACTTTTTTGCATTTATTCTACTTGAATTTTGTTGGGCTTCCTGGAAGTCCAGCAGATTTTTTCTGTTGCTGTTGCTCTTTGTGCTGGGATTAAAGGCATGCGCCACCATGCCAAGCAACAATAAAACTTTTATGAAATCTTGTTATGTTCCTTTTGGTCTTATTGTGATGCAGGCTGGCCTGGAACTATGTGGCTCATGCTGACCTAGGATAAAACAAAACAACTCCTCTCTCCAGTGATATACTCTATTTGGTGTGACATTGTCCTTTGACAGTCCCTTTCCTCTTTAATCATAGCTCTTTGGCTCCTTAGTTATAACAGTGACTTTGAAGCCTGTGTCTGTCAAATATGACCTCTGCCCACTGACGCAGCCAGTCCCTGCTGCCTGCTTTTGTTTGTTTTTTGCTGTATGAGTCATATTTTCCTGTGTCTTTGCATGCCTTGTACTTTCTGTTGTTTTGGAGAAAGGGCGTTTTAGAGACTATACTGTGCTTGCCCTCCTATTTCAGGGGCATGTGATATCTGTCTGTTTATCTGTTTAGTGATGTCGGTAAAGGGAATCGAGTCCATCTCACCCCTTCAGTGCCTCTAACATTGCCACTCTTCCCACACTCATGTGTTCACAGTGAGTGTAGTGGATGTGCCCACAGTGACGGAAGGGGTATGCCCTCAGTGACGGGAGGGGTAGGCTCACAGTGATGGAAGGGGTATGTGATGGAAGGGGTATGCCCACAGTGACAGAAGGGATATACCCACAGTGACAGAAGCAGGGGATTTGCTTCCACAGTGACAGAAGCTGGGGATTTGCTTCCACCGTGATGGAAGGAGGAAGCACAACAGTGAGGGTTTTTAAAGGATTTTGTTGTTGTTATTGATTGTTTGATTGGTTGGTTGGTTTTGGTTTGTTGTTGTTTAGACAAATTCTTACTATATAGCCCTGACTGGTCTAGAACTTACCATGTAAACCAGGCTGTCCTCAAACTCACGGGGTTCTTCCTGCCTCTGCCTCCCTGAGTACTGAGCTTAAAAGCATAACACCACACCTGACTTGTTTTTTGTGACGCGATTTCGGTTTTTATGAAACGGAGCCTTATTCACATAGGCTAGCCTAGAACTCTGTGTTCGGCCAAGGTTGGCCTCGAATGTGCAGCAGTCCCCTGCCTTGGCCTCACAAATGCTGGGAGGTATTTTTTGCAGACTTTCATTTGACTTTGTCCTCGACCACATCCAGCTGTAAAAACCCACTCAATACTGTATGACTGCTCAGTCGTTTGGACTCCTTGGAAGGAATTGCTCCCTGAGCTGGTGTTCATATATTGTGAACTCCAACTGTTTACATTTCTGGAAATCCTCTGGCCTATAGATTAGCCCATAAGACCAGTAAAATTGTCAATCTCCCAATTGCCCCTCACCACAACCTCCAGGATGGCTCCACTTTCTCGGTTACTACTGTGGTTGTTTTTATTATCATTGTTATTTGCCTTGCTAGGGATTAAGCCCAGTGCCTTTCTCATCCTGGGAAAGTGCCCTACCATTGGGCGACACAACATCCCAGTCTGTCTATGGAAGGCAGGCTCCATGCTCTTACAAATGAAGTCCGCTCCTTTGGGAAACCGTTAGTCTTCTCCCTGCAGGACTGTGGAGATGGGGTTTCTGAGTGACGCTCTTGCTCTGTAAGACATGTGCTGACAGCTGGAGGGATTGTTCAGCGGTTAGAGCACTTGGTGCACAATCGTGAAGATAAGAATTCAGATCCCAGCACCCAAATAACAAGCGGAGATCCCTCAAACACCTGTAACTCCAGCTCCGAGGGATCTGATTCCGTACTCTGCCTCCTATGCGTGCCCAGACACAAATAAGAACTTGTCTTTCTAGAGTGCCCATTTTATGCATTCATGTGCGCACATGAACACATAACTAAAGACTGAAATATAAAATACTTTTTAAATGCTCTGGCGAAAGGAAGACTTGAGCAGCCTAAACTTGGCGTGGTGAGTTATAACTCAGTCAGTCCAGAGCAAGAAAGCAATCCTTCCGCCTCAGTCTCCTGAATACTGGGCGTACAGATGTGAGCCACCATGCCCAGCTTTCAATGAAAGCTGTATGTCCTTAGACCTAGCTCTCAGGACTGTATGTTGTGTTGAGTGGGCATTCCATGTGTGCATACACCCGTGTGCGTGCACAAAGGCCAGAGAAGGACAGGAGATGTGATACGCTCTATCATGCTTCACTTCTTTTTCCTTGAGACAGGATCTCTCACTGAACCTGGGCCTAGACCCTGTGGGCCTGTCACTATTCCCACAGCCACGACCCACTTTTTACGTGGGTGCTGGAGTCCACACTCAGGTCCTCCCGCTTCCACAGCAAGCACTCTTACCCACGAAGCTATCTCCCTAACTCTGGTAAATGTTTGTAGTTCTCCATCCGTCAGAGTCCTTTGGCTTCTGGACAGAGAATGGAATCAAAGATCCCAGATCTCAGGAAAGGCTGGAGCACTTTGGGGCGAGGCCAGGGTGTGGAAGTTTTCCACAGAGCGTTACAGTTGAGCTCTTTTAGACTGAGATCACTGGCGGCAGTGGAAACTCAGACGTTCCAAAGCCTATGGCAGCGATACCAGCCCAGGCCTGGCAAAGCCCAGGCCCAGCAGGCCAGAGGGCCTGTCTGGTAAGATGAGACCAGTGGGGGATAAAGGCAGCCATAGTGGAAGGCTGACAGTATCGTGTAGCTTGTGACCAGCCAGCATGTTTACTTGAACTCAGGGATTTATAAACCAGTGGGAGGGGTTTCAAGGGTGATTTACATGCGGTGGTACAGTACGTCATTTTCCATGCAGTGGTATGGTCCTATCACAAGAAGGAGAACACAGTACTTAATTATCCTATGGGCGGGAGAATCTCCATAGTTGAAGGTCACCGCTGAAGACTAAGAGCCTTAACAGAGTAGAGTATTTCTAGGAATTCCCAGATACTTGCTGGACTGCTTTTCTTATCAGGAAAGGGTCAGGCTGGTAATCTGCCCTAAGTGCTATGTGACACTCCTTACAAAATCTGGGTTCACCCAGATTAGGGGAGAGTTTTGGAACCTCCTTGAGAAAGGGAGTCCACCATCATTGACCGAGCACAAACAAATGGCATCCAGGGATGTCAGACTCCAACCTTATCCAGCAAAGCTCCACAAATTGTTGTTCTTTTCTCTTTCACTTGGGGCTAGTGCTGGGACTTAGGGTCCACCGCTCACCTTCCATGCATAAGACCCTGGGTTCAAGCCAGCACCATATAATGATAATAAACAGCCAACCATCTAGCTTGTAAAGAAGGGGAAAACTCAAGAAACAGAAGCAAGCCAATGGAAATACAGGAAATTAAATAAAAAGAAGGTCAGAAAATAAAGAACAGGCATGAAGCATGGCATAAAAGAGTATAGAAGTGCAGCTGGAGAAAGATGGTCTGGCAGCCAGAGCGCTTGCTGCTCTTCCGGAGGACCTGATTTGACTCTCAGCACCCACGTCAGGCTGCTCACAACTGCCTGGAACTTCAGCTCCAGGGGACCTGATGAGGCCTTTGTGGACTTGAGAACACGTAGCAGACACAGCATACATACACAGAAATAAAAGATAAAAGTAAATCTTAAATAAATAAATAGCCCTCTGGAGGCAGACAGACAGATCACTGTGAGTTCCAGGCCAGCTTGGTTTCCATAGTGAGTTCTGGGACAGCCAGGGCCCATCGATACAAACAAAACACAAACAAACAGCATCAAAAGAAGAGGAGGAGGAGGGCGTCAAGAAAGGCAGGATGTCTCAGCTGGTACAAGTGCTTGATGTGAAAACCTGATCACCTGAGTTCCATTCCCAGACACTGTGGCAGAGGAGAAAGCAAATGCCTGAAAGGTGTCCTCTGACCTCCACATACATGCCAAGGCACATGGATGCCTACACACTACACACATAATACACACACACACACACACACACAACAATAATAAGGGGGAAATATTTTGAAGAATATAAAAGGACTGTTTCCTTGAAAAGACTACTGACAGCTTCAGAAATAACTCCCAAATTTTACTGTTTGTTCTAGAGACTAAAACAAAACTAAACGGAACACTCCAACTTGTACTTCAACATCAAGGCATAGCATGTACTTAAAACTTTAACCTGTCATAACGGTACCACCTGCAGCAACCCGAGAACTGGGACATGGGATAGAGATGACCAGGAGTTTAATGTCATCCTGGTCTACACAGACCTTGTCCCCCACCAAAAAAATCAACAAAATAGTGCTAGGATGCATGTCTTTAGTCCCAGCGCATGGGGGAGAGGCAGGTGGATCTCTCCGCATTCAAGGGCAGCCTGGTCTACCTGGAGAACTCCAGGCCAGCCAAGGATACACAGTGAGCTCCTGGGGGGGGAAAAAAGTAAAAATAGAAAACCCGTGATCATCTTCATATCCAGAAAACTAGAAACAGAGTGAGAGAGGCCTCGTGAGAAAGATTCCTAACAGAAATCTTGAGCAGCTCGGAGCAGAATGAAAATGCAAGGACATTAAAGACTCACGAGGAAGGGCTGGGATATCGCTCAGCACAGAGCACTTCCTTCACAGACGTCAGGCTCCAATTCAGTCCCCAGTGCTGAATAACTTACTAAGAACATGAAGGCAGCAGGCCAGCGAAGGCCTTGGAGTTGAGCAGACTCCCTGCCCCACAGCCTGGCTGCTCCACTGCAGATTTGGCCCTTAACAGTGACCACTAAAGCAATCACTCAAGTGAGGAAAACGAAAACAACAAAAATGATAACATACACAAGGCAGAATAAAAGACAGACAACGCTCAGGGGACACGGAGGGGCAGGAAGCTGCTCGCTCCAGGATCTGTTTAACATTTCTCGCTGGCCGGCGGTCAAGAGCTTCAGCAGAACTAACAAAGGCAGGGAAGATTGCCCGCTAAGACAACACCCCTAATGCCCAAAGATGGCTCAACATGTGTTAAAGAGGAAGCGGGCTGCGGCTGCTCAACACCAGGGACTTTGCAGCCTGTGAGTTTATCGGCGCTTTCTCTTCTCCAAACTGGAACCGTGCACCTCAAAAGCCACCTTAAATTTTAATAAAGTTCCTTTTAAAACCACACTTATTTATTTATGTGTATGTGTGTGTGCATGCACAGGGGGAGGTCAGAGAACTCATGAGAGTCAGTTCTCTCCTTCTGTCATGTGGCTGCTGGGGACTGAACTCAGTCATCAGGTTTCGTGACACATGTCCTTTTCCACGGGGCTCACTTTTTTGGGGGGACAGGATCTCGTGTCCCAGAGTGGTCTCCAACTCCCTATGTAGCTGAGAATGGCTTTGCCCTTGTGACTTTCTACCTCCTGTACTTTCCAAGCACCAGGATTATTAGCATCTGCTGCTAAGTCCAGTTTTATAAAATGCTGGGAACTGAACTGGGGCTTTGTGTATGTTAGCCAAACACTGGAGCAACTGAGCTGCCTCTCCAGACCACAGAACAAACTTCTTCAGGGTACATATGAAGCCAACATACCAAGCAATTATTTTTAGCCAGCATGGGAGCACATGCCATTGATTCCAGCACTTGGAGGCCAGCCTGATCTACATAGGGTTCCAGGATACATTGAGAGGCCCTGCATCAAAAATATATTTTTAATTAAGTTAAAAACAATATGAATATATATTTGTTTTATTGTTTTAAATTGTCTCCTCTTCCCTTGGGAACTGTTGGCCATCAGCCCACCGGCTCAGGAGGAACAGAGGCGGAGTGCAGGGCTCGGAAGGCTTTGAGCAGCATGGAATGACATCAGGGACCAGCTGCAGGGAGGCGGATCAGCTCTGTTCCTGCGGTGAGAGGAATATACAGGCAAAGGGAAGCAGCCAAGAGGTAGATGATAGGTGCTGTCAGTGTGCTTCACGGTAAACAGTGCGGCCTGTCGAAGAGGCACACTACCTAATAATATGGGCAGCAGGGGGAGAACCTTCTACAGGAAGCTGTGTCAGAGGCTGCTTCTATGGCAAGCCAGGCCCTGTGGCTCAGGGACGTCCTCCGAGTAAGGACAGGCACGGAACAGGAACAGGAAGCCTTGCTGGGGGAAGGGAGTCCTCCATCTTGCGCCAAGCTCCGGAAGCTATCCGGGTGTGGAGGCTGCAACCTTCAGCAGCAGAGCCTCCACCATGTATGGATGTGCTTGTGTGTGTGTGTGCACCTGAATGTAGGTGCCCAACGAGGCTGTGGGGCTGGGTTACAGGCTGTTGTTAGCCATCCGCATGGCGCGGCTCATCATCACTGTAACCTCAGTTCCAAGGCTTCTGAAGCCCTCCTCTGCCCCCCACCCCCCACAAAGCACCTGCATATGTGTGGTAACATGCCCCCCCCACAGACACATACATACACAGAACCTAAAACAAATAAATACAACTAAAAATAAAGTCGATGCTATCCACAAACACAAGATATCACGACAAAAAAGTCTTTTTTAAAAATCTTGAAAAGCCGTGCCAGGCAGTGATGATGCAGGGCCGTAATTCCAGCACTCTGGAAGGCAGAGGCAGGGGGAATCTCTGTGAGTCTGAGGTCACCTTGGTCTACAAAGTGAGTACAGGACAGCCAAGGTTACACAGAGAAACCTTGTCTCAAAACACACAAAAAAACTATACAAAACAAAACAAAAAAAAATCTTGAAAAACCAAAAAAGAAAATCATTTTATTAGTGGGGCCTGGTGGTGTACACCTTTAATGCCAGCACTCAGAAGGCACAGGCAAGTGGATCTCTGAGTTCGAGGCCAGCTTGGTTTATAAAGAGAGTTCCAGGACAGCCAGGGCTACACAGAAAAACCCTGCTTCAAATAACAACAACTGTGTGTGTATAAATAATTTTATGTGTATGACTTGTTTTGCCTGTGTGATGGCTATTCTTGGTTGTCATCTTGACTATATTTGGAATGAAATATAGTTTAAAAATGGAAGGCACACTTGTGCTCCAGATCTTGAGGCAAGAAGACAACATGCCTTCGGTCCTGATCCTGAGGCTGGAAAACACAGGCTTTTGATCTAGATTGTGAAGTGGGGTGACACGTGCTTTTGGTCCAGATGGACACACGCCTTTAGTCCAGATCTGGAGGCACACCTTTGATCTGGGCCACGCCTTCTGCTGGAGCCTGTCTAAAGACTATGAAAGGAGGAAGGTTTGCCCACTTGCACTCTGCCAGCACATCCCTTGGAGCCTACTTCTTCAGGGTTCCAGTTCATTACAGAAGACCAGCTGAAACACTCAGCCTCGTGGGGCTGAGCAAATACTACAGTCTTGAACTTGCCATTCACACACAGCTAGCTATATTGGACTAGCTAAAAGTCATTCCAATAAATTTGTCTATGTGTGTGTATGTAACCAAACCCAGGTCCTCTGCAAGAGCAACAAGTGCTCTTAACCACTGAGCCAACCATTTAGCCCACAAGACAATGGCCTTATGGTAAAATTATAAAACTACATTAGAAGATATTTTATAGTAGAAGTGTATATATTGCTTTAAACACACACACTAGAGGGCTGGAGAGATGGAACAGTGTTAAGAGTGCTTGCTGTAGACAGGCAGAGCAGTGCATGCCTTTAATCCCAGCACTCAGGAGGGAGAGGCCAGCCTGGTCTGTAGATCGAGTTCCAGGACAGCCAGGGCTGTGACACAGAGAAAGCCCGTCTCGAAAAACAAAACAAAAAAGTGCTTGCTGCTCTTCCTGAAGACCTGAGTTCAGTTCTCGGCACTCACGTGGGTCAGCTCACAACTGCTGACCAGCTCCAAATCATCTGACCCCACTGAGAGAGAGAGAGACAGAAAGGAAGAAAAAAAAAATTCCAGGACTTTATTTTTGACTTTAGTATTTTAATGGAGTGTGGTGGATTTCTCTACAATTCTGTTCATATGACTGCAGAACCTGGAAACGCTGCTGTGGCTACTGGTGCAGAGTGCTGGACTTTTTGGTCGTTCTCTACAAATAAAAAAAGTACACACACACACACACACACACACACACACACACACACACACACACGATGCATGTATCAACAGTGAAAAAGTACCTCCCTTTACCGTACATTTAGAAGTGTTAACCTCATCTTCTCCCCTTTTGTACAGCGGCAGGGCGCTGCATTGAAAACGCAGGGTTTTGTCTAGGTTATTCGCGACGGAAGCACGGTTCCCGAGCGCAGCCGAGAAGCACCTTGCCGACACCTTTGGAACTCTGTGCTGCAGTCCCGACCCCACCCCTCAGTACCGGGAACACGTCGGTCATTTCTTCGTCCTTTACAGCCATCTGAAAACCCGTTTACCTAAGGTCCCGGGTGCGGAAGAACACGCCCGGGGCGAGCAAGGGGCGGAACCCTCCGCCCCGCCCCCTGCAGTCGCCCGGGGGAACCGCGCCAGTCTCCAGGGCGGTCACCCGGCTCATTTACATACCCATAACACACCGCGGCCAGGGCGGCTCGTTTTCGTGAAAAGATACTTGTCTAGTGCTCGAATTTTGAAACTAAAAACAAAATCTTCGCTTAAGGAGATCAGGCAGCAGTTGCCGTAGGTAACGGCGCAGCGATCCACAGCCACCATAGGTAGACTAGGAGGCTCTGTTACCCTAGCGCTGTCCTCCGCGGACTGCCGGCATACTCTGGTTTCTCTTCAGATCGTATAAATCTTTCGCCTTTTACTAAAGATTTCCGTGGAGAGGAACAACTCTGAGTCTGAAACCAATTTTTTGAGGCCTTGGCCTGGCGAGGCTACACATACTGGTCTAACGACAGAAAGCCCCTCCCCCGCCTCCTCCTCAGCCTCCATCAAGGGAAGCGCGGGGAGTTCTAGGGGTTGCCTTCTTGGCAGCTCATGATTGGGTGAGGTATCTAACTTCTAAAGTAAGTGCTTGGTCCTGGGCAGCCTTAGGTCTGCTCAGCCCTGTCGTAAATACCTGATCTTCAAGTCAGTTTAGAATTTCCTGCCATATGAGATCTAGCCACAGTTAAAGGTGGGAGGGTGATTAACTCATCCCGTGTCTGTTCTGAGGAGTGGGGGTTACAGGCTTTGGATCAAAGGTCAGGAGAAGGATGGCCCAGTTTCCAAACGCCGGTGATTTTTCTCTCCATTTAATAGAGATCTCTGCTTGTTCTCTTCCTTATCTCTGCCCTCACAGATGGCTAATGTCAGGAACTTTTACACTCCTACATTCCTCGGCTCTCTGGAGAAGCACTAAGAGGCTTTAATTAACATGGGCCTTCTTTCACAGCTGCAGTCGCCTGCCCCGACACTTTCCTTTTAAACTCCCTGAGCTTGTGTCTCTTCTTAAGAGTCTCTTATTACTAAAGAGAATAAGGATCCCAAGAGGGGTCCCCAAGTTCCCTGATATCATATGACTGACTGCTGGGTGCCCCAAGATTTGGAATGACATTTCTTTCCTGCCTTTCTTTAACCAGAGAAAACAAACCCATTCCTGCACCCCTAGGTAACGTCCAAAGCGCCTGCAACCAAGCCTGGAACCCACATGGTAGAAGGAAAGACCTGACTCCCACGGGTGCCTCTGACCTCCACACTTACGCCGTGGGGTGTGTGACCCCATTACAGAGGGAAGGGTGCTAGAGATGACTCAGCAGTTAAGAGCACGGACTGTCCCAGCCTGGCAGACAGTTCACAACCCCCACAGTTCCAGCTCCTGGCACTGTCATCATCCTGGCAGTGTCTACATATGAATACACTCGGAGAGACACGCAGACACCTTAAAGAGACTGAGAGAAAGCAGGAGGTTTTCTGTTTTGTTTTGGTTTGGTTTTTCAAGACAGGGTTTTTCTGTGTAGCAGTGGGGAGGCAGAGGCAGGAGGATCTCTGGGCTCCAGGCTGGACTGGTCTACAGAGTGAGTTCCCAGGACAGGCAGGGATACATAGAGAAACCCTGTCTCAAAAACAAAACAAACAAACAAAACAAAAATCCAATACCGGGAGTAGAGGCAGGCTAATCTCTCTGAGTTTTGAGGCCAGCCTGGTCTACAAAGTGAGTCTGGGACAGCCAAGGCGTCACAGAGAAACTATTTAAAAAATAAAAAATAAGCCTGGTGGTGGCGGCACACACCTTTAATGCCAGC